GAAGGTGCTACTGGGATCTGGTGTGTTGACGCCAGGGATGCGGGTAAACATCCTACTGTGCTCAGAGCAGACCCCACAACGAAGACTTTTCTAGCCCAAATGGTGCTGAGGTTGAGAAACGGTTCCAATATAGACCGATCCCAACCCCCAACTGACATGATGGTTTCCGGTCATTAAGTGACTTAGTGAAAACGACAACAGCCATGGTAAAAACCGGTTTTCTGAAAATCATGTGAGTTCTGTGTTTAAAAAGGGCACGGCGCGGCTCAGTGGTTGAGCGTTGACTTATGAACCAGGAGGTCAGGGTTCAATTCCCGGTCAGGGTTCAATTCCCGGTCAGGGCACATGCCTGGGTTACAGGCTCCATCCCAAGTGGGGAGCATGCAGGAGGCAGCTGATCAATGTCTCTCTATTCGTCTCCCTTCCTCTCTGTAAAAATATCAATAATAAAAAAAGATACTGTCTCCTATAAAAAATAAATAAATAAAATGGGGCTATTCACCACCAATTTTAACATAATTACTTTGGAAAGAGTCCTTTCGTATCCCAATAGACAATCATAATCCCTCAATAGAGTCTTAGTAGTGAAAGGGAGAATTAGCCCCGTTCGTTTATTTAATGGGATGTGAGCTAACAGGAGTCAGAGGGAAGTTAGCCCTGGAGGTGGCCTTCAGTGGGAGCACTGGGCCTGGCAGCACCAGCAGTGCATCGGGGACTAGGGCCTTGCTGATGGGGTGGGGATGGAGGAGGGAGACAATGAGTGTGAAATGAGGTTATATTTTTGCACCCAGTTTATATCTGGGGATAGTAAGCCTGGTGTTGATAGCAACTGATTATATTAGTGGAAAAATATCAGTCACTTCTTATCTGAATATGCCTATTTCCTGTCATTTTTAAAATGAAATTCATCACACTGATTTTTTTTCCTTTGAAGGAAACATAATAAAGTTTACCGGATCACTTATTTTAGGGTAAGTGTCAACAGTGAAATACTAATTGGCTTTATTATACTATTATTTGAAATCTCAATGGAGGTGATTTACAGGTCGCATGGGGGAGGGAACGGGTGTAGATCTTGGAAGTAGGTGGATTCATCCCTGGCTAATCACTGGCTCTACCACGTCAGTGTCATCGCTCAGTTACTTTACCTTCTGCGAATCGGTTTCTCTTGGTCCAGGTGTACGATGGCGATCCTGCCCACGGCACTGCTACTCCGAGGAAAGCACCTGAAACTTGCAGAGCAGGGACTCACTAAGTAGTGAAAATCAGCTATAGTCAAAATCAGTTTGGAAAATCCTATGAATCACCATAAAGCTGTTATGAAAGGAAATTAAGGCTGACTTAGAAAAGCAATTGATTGACATCTCCCATCTCGTGCTATTTCAGAGACACTTGCTTAATGAATGGAGTGACTCTCTTTCTGAAAATTGTATTTTTATTCTCTTTTTTTTCGAGGGTGGGGAGTAACATGTTAAATGCATGTCTCATACTGCTCTAGTATTTTTTGTTAATAATAGTCTATAAATATAAAACCAGCTCTTGATGCTAAAATGATAAAGGAGATATATTTGGCACTTTATCCAAATATATACATTTCTCTATAACATTGTAAGGTCAGGCAAAACATATTTAGATGATTTTTCCCTTTAACTTATTCTAGGCAAACGGTAAATGAGTACTCTTTTGTAAAGTAGTTTCTTTGTTTATTATCACACTTCTATTCAGGAATAGAATGGAAATTAATCACACAATTTTTATTAGAAATTTTTGTCTTTCAGGGAAAGCATGATAAAAATGCTGAATACATTGTCTCTTTTTGGCTGCTCAGATAGACAGATCCCCAAGAGAGAGAAAGGTTCTTTTCAGCCTGTCTCTCTTCCTCTGGTGCCAGCAGTGTCAGGCCATTTTGTTTTCCCTACTTTTGCTTTGGGTTAGGAAGTTCAGGAGAATGCTTAGTATAATTAACATTATAATTAACATTACACTAAGGGCAGCCTTTGTGTCTGGGCCAAGGGAGTGTGCAAGTCAGTCTGATTCAGGGGGAAAAAATTTCATTTGGGGATACACAATAAACAACATCAGAGGTGACATTTAAAAACTGACTTTAGGTATAACTCTTAGGAGAGGAGGAACTTTCATATGTTGGTGATCCAGTACAAATTGACTAATCTTTTGAAACCACAGTTTGGCATTATATAGTAAAGTGGAATCATAATATGCTGTCAGCAAGTCGGTAATTCTGCTTCTAGATATGTACCCTACAGGGACAAACACGTGTGTATAGTGCACCTGGGTGTGATGTGCAATGGTGTTGGTAATAGACCCAAACTACAAAGTCCCTAAATGCCCATCTGGGGTAGAATGGGAAAATAACTTGTGGTATATTCATACAGTGATGGATCACAACCATAGGAAAGTATAAATGTATGAACTAGATACATGCAGCGACATGGATGAATCTCACAGAGGACTGAACAGAGAATACATACAGTGTGATTCCATTCTTGTGAAGCTCACAGACAGACAAAACTGCTGTTTAAGGACCCATATGCAGATGGTAAACTATGAAGAAAAACAAGGCTATTATTATAATGAAGTCAGAATAATAATTAGCTATGGATTTGAGAGAGTGAGTCAGGATCAGGAAGGAACCCACTGTGGGCTTCTGGGATACTTGCTATTAACGTTCTGTTGTTGTTGTTTTTTTGCCTGGATATGGTAATGTAGCTATTTATTATTAGTTGTTAAACTGAAACGTGTATACTTTACACATATACTTTGCATATATACAAATATATGGTATATACACATTAATGCATATATATTGTTTTCCAATAAAAAAGAAAAGTTAACTATTATCTTTTTAAGTTAACTACTTAAAGATTAATAAAAGAGTGACTCTTGTGTTACATTTAGATCATATATTTATGATGAATTTTTTGTTTTCTTTTTAGAAGTTCGCTATTTCTTACATATGAACTTCTGGCCCTGAAGAAGTCTTTGACATTAGATACTCAAGTGGTAGAAAGAGAAAAAATGAAGTCATATATATGTATGCACACAGTTGTTTTAGATAAAAGAGAAAATCATGGTAAGTTTTATGGTAAAGTAATCCTATTTTTGTGATAAATGGAAGCTAGTTATTGAATTTAGAAATGAATATTTAAAACACAGTATAAATAAGGTAGGTTCAGCTAACTTTAAGAATCGCCAGACCCTGTGAGAACCAAGTCCCTGAAGAGTTAATTGGAGCCCAGGTTTTGGGTTTCCATATTTACCCAAGTTTTCAGTTCTCCTATGACTAGGTGAAATGAAAGCGAGCAAGCTGTTTCAGGGTAAACTTGGAGTTCCCCACCTTAGTGGAGACATCAGTCCAGAGGCTGGCCCTCAGTTTGGCATGATTTTGTCACTTGGAGATATTTCTGATTTAAGGGATTTATTTATTCACTGTGCACACTAAACTGGAGAGATGGATTCATAAATATAAATACAAACTTATTTACACAGGGAAAAATCTGTCTTGAAGGCTAGAAAACCTGTTTTTACTAGTCAGAACATTCCTCTTCTCCATAGTTAGGTTACAGGGAAACCTAATTAGTAATCAGACGATTGCTTGGTGAATATGAAATTTGAGAGCAGAGGAGTATCGTTCCATCAAGATGTGGGTAGTTTGGTGAGTCACCACACTTGACTTGGAGCTGCGTGTTCCTGCACTGTCAGCCAGAACAGCCAGGCCTGCTAGTACATGATGATTCCTGAGTGGGCAGGTTCTACTGCTCCCTGTCCACAAGCTGTGTGTATTATCATTTAACCTTCCTGTATTTCAACTTTTATGGTGTTACAATTTTACTTACACAGATCATTTTTATAGCTTATAATTTACCTAGATAGTGAAGCTTAATCTCAGCGAGATGTCTCCAAATTTTAGTTTGAGAGGGACTATTTTTAAGGGACATTTTCCTGAATGTAGCTTCTCCTGTGCTGTATATGAGGATTTTTGTTAAGTTTAGTGTTTCTGTTTCTGTTTTGTTTTTCACCTTTTCCCTGACTTGGAGAGCAATCTTATTTTGGGATTTAGAACTCTATGTTCCCATAATGGTTTTAGTTGCTTCAGTCGATAGTGACAGTAAAAACAGAAAGATGCTATTTTATATTTTCTTTTTGAAAAAACCTAGAGTTTAGTTATATTTTTCTTTGCAGTATTAGAACTTGGCATTAAGAGTACATACTTGATGTTATTTAAATTTGTAAACTCTTTAGGACTCATTTACCAGGCGCGAAAAGAGCTTCACAAAACAGTAAGAAGAATATTGGCAACCTCGGCCAAGATATTACAGGGTCCATTTGCTGGTAGGTATCAAATCTTTAACTGGGAATCCTGATCAGTATTCTTAAAGTCATTCGATGGTCTGCCTAAGGTATTTTCCCATTTCATGTTCTAGCATTTATTATAGCAGTGAAATCTTGGGCTATATTAAATTTTAAGCCTTAATTCCTTGAACATTTTTTTCCTTCCATCTTTGAGAATGTATTGTTAGATATTTGTAAGTAAATATTGAGATTAAATATACCCTCTTCAATATTTAAAATTTGTTAAGAAATCTCTCTCAGGCTTTCTCATAATGAGAATACTGCATGGAAAATGTAGATTTCACAACCAGCTACTCTACACCTAGCTATAAAAGAACAAAACAGATCTCTTTCAAAAGTTGACGTCATGAAAAAGAAAAGGTGGAAAGCCTTCTAGAAATAAAGGAGACTAAAGAGGTTTAAATCCTGGTTTCAAAAACAGCTCTCAGGACATTTTTGGGACAATTGACATTTGAATATGGAGTTAGACTGGATTTTAGATAATTTTGGAGGATTTTTTTGTGTGTTCTTGAGTGTTACAATGGCATTGTGATTATATATAGGAGAATGCAGACTTATTTTTAGGAGATTTAGTGTGAACTATGAAAGGGTAAAAGTCATAGGTCTACAACTTCCTTTTACATAGTTTAGACAGATATATAGATGTATGCATATAGATTGAGCAAATATGACAAAATAAGTTTTTAAATCGAGTTGTGGTAGGCAGATAGGTATTAATGCATTATTCTTTTAATTCTTCCATATGTTTGATTTCTCTTTTAAATATGTTTTTTATTGATTTTAGAGAGAGAGGAAGGGAGAGAGGAAGAGAGAAACATTGATTGGTTGCCTCCCATATGTACCCCAACTACGGATTGAACCTGCAATCTGGGTATGTGCCTTGACTGGGAATCGAACTGGCGACCTTGTGGTGCATGGGACGATGCTCAACCAACCAAGTCACATTGGCCACGGCTGTTTGATATTTTTTTAAAAATATTTTTTTAAATATATATTTTATTGATTTTTTTACAGAGAGGAAGGGAGAGGGATAGAGAATTAGAAACATCGATGAGAGAGAAACATCGATCAGCTGCCTCGTGCACACTGCCTATTGGATATGTGCCGGCAACTAAGGTACATGCCCTTGACTGGAATTGAACCTGGGACCCTTGAGTCCGCAGGCTGACGCTCTAACTGGTTAGGGCTGATGTTTTTTTTATAATGAAAAGTTTTTTAGGGAAAAAGAAGGAAAAAAAAAGATCACATCAGTTATTATCAATACCCGGAAATAGATTTAACTCTCCTATTGTAGATTTCAAATATTTATAAATTACCACTTTACATAAATGGGAGGATAGCCCTAGCTGATTTGGCTCATTATATAGAGCTTAGGCCTGCAGACTGGAGAGTCCTGGGTTCGATTCTGATCAAGGGCACATACCTCGGTTGCAGGTTTGATCCCAGGTCCCAGTAGAGGTGCATGCAAATCGATGTCTCTCTCACATTGATGTTCCTCTCTGTCCCTTCCACTTTCTCTCTGAAAGTCAATGGAAAAATATCCTCGGGTGAAGATTAACATAAATAAATAAATAAATAGGATAAAAATGTTTGTATCTGTTCACATTGCTCACATTGTCTTTTTCTTTCTTTTTGCAAAGACACTTTTAGCACAGTTGACATGGAAGATCATGAATGTGCCGCGTGGCTGCTCCTGAAGAGGAGCAGGTCGGGTGACAGGACGGCCCGATTGCAGGCTGTGCAGGCCATGTCGGAGGCCCACCACTGGAATGGTAATGACCCTCAGCACATGGCACCCCCCTAGCCAGTTCTCCATTTCTGATATAAAAGAGAAGGGAATGAGATTTTAAGGAAGAAAATAATTCAGGCAATCTAAAAATATATTACAAATATTTCCAGAAATTAAAAAAAGAAACTCCAGTGCAAACGCACTGGCCTGGTAAGCAGATGTGTTTGGTAAGAACAGCCTCAAAACTGAGGTAGATCTCTTTGTGTAACTTTGTAGCAGAACAGTGTTATTTGATTAGAGAAACTCTTGATTCTCATAGTTATGGCTTCATGTATTACATTTTCTTGTGGTTCCTATTTAATGAAATACATTTTAATTGCTTGCTGCACTGTAGCATTATATTTGCTTTCACTTGACAATTGGCCTAATACTAATAATTAGTTAAATGTATCTGATTCATGTATATATATCATTGTAAGGGGTATTTAAAATACTTATATTTTGCAATAAAAATACTCAGCAAGAACTCAGATTCTAGTAGCGATGAATATACACATCTCATAAAAATGGGTAAACAAATAGAAAAAATAATGTTCTCAAAGAAAAGTCTCAGAATAAGGTCTCTGCCTCCATACTGGTTAATCAGTTGATTGATTGGTGGCTGTAATTATAATAATTTATAATGTAAATATAAACTTATTTCATAATGTTAATGGACACTTAGAATAAAAATATTTTTCAAAATCTGCCTTCTGGGACTCCAGCTCAGACTTACTGTATCAGAAAAATCAGGGTTGGAGTCCTGGCATGTGTATTGTGAAATGTTCCCCACACGATCTTGAAGAACTCACCAGATTAGGAACTGCCATCATTAAACAGTGTCTGCTTCAGTGGTTGGATTTTGCTTTGATACATGTCTTAGTCTGTTTGGGCCACTATAACAAAGTACCAAAGACTGGGTGGCTTATGAACAACAGAAACGTATTTCTCACAGTCTGGAGGCTGGAAGTACAAGATCAGGTGCCGGCTGAGTTGGGTGTCTGGGAAGCCCTGCTTCCTGGTTCATAGCTGGCCACTTTTCTTTGGGTCTGACCTGGCAGAAGGGACTCGGCAGCTCTCAGGGGTCTCTTTTATAAAAGGGCACTGATTTCATCATGACCTCTCACCCCAAAGGCCCTTCCTCCAAATGCCATGACACTGGGGATTAGGTTTCAACATATGGATCTGGGGGGACACAAATGTTCAGTCTGTAGCAATCGATGAAGAATGGGGTGGTGATCATGAAGGCTAAGATAAAGTACCTCATACACTACACCAGGGGTGGGGAATGTCCAACCTGTGGGCCATGTAAGACCCACGGAATCATTTGGTCTGACCCTGCCAAGGCATTAGGGCTGAGTTAATTAAATCTTTGACCAAACATAGGCTAATTTTTAAATTGATAATTTTGTATGGCCCACAAATGATGTTATAAATATCCACATGGCCCTTGGCACAGAAAAGGTTTCCCACCCCTGCTCCACATGGACAGCATAGAATGAAGGTATCTTGCCGCTACCAGAACAACAGACCTAACGGCATTGAAGTTTTGGAGTAGCAATCAGAACAGCTTTTGAAGGCTAGAATTATTTTTAAAGAGAAGGTAAATTGGTTCTCACCTATTAACTTTCACATTTGAAATTCTTCTTTTCAAAAATGTTAGTTAGACCCTGATATACCCAGATAGATGTTGAGGAGAATTGTGAGATTAGATATGGAAATGATGGGCATTTAGCTTATTGATGTTGTAGCTGTGAAAAAATACTTGGGACATATAAACTTGTAATTTAAAAATTAGAGTGCTTTCAAGTAGTTTGTCCATTTAATCCTTGAAACGCTAAGCCAATCTGGGAGCTAACGGCACACTTTTTCAATAGATTACCAGTATAGGACAATTGCTCAAGCCTGCGATCTGAGAACGCGTATTGGTTTGGCACGAAGCCAAGAGAGTGATCTTCGCTTTTTTCTCCCTCCACCTCCTTTACCAGCTTTAAATGAAGTAAGTAAATAAAATAATACAGTGAGTGAAAAATTGTTTTAATATATAGTCTTCATTTTGGGTATATAATAAACATTCAAAAAGTAGTTTGTTGGCTACTTTTCACAAGCAAGTAAACAATGTCAACCTGAAACTAGTTTTCCTACAAAGATTTCTTAATTCCTCAGGAGATGCTGTTTCTCTGTTGTTTTCTCTTTTGGGGTGTCGGGGGTCTCTTGACCAGAGGATAACTTCATAGCATATCAGCATCCAAGAATTGGTCCCTTGATCTAGGGTTGCTTTTAGATAGTTTATCTCAACTTCAACACTATTGACATATTTGGCCAAATACTTCTTTTTATTGGAGGGTGTCCTATGTATTGTAGGGTGTTTAACAGCATCCTGGCCTCTTCTCCTTAGATTCCAGCAGCAACTCCAAGTTGTGACAACCAAAAATGTTTGCAGATATTGCTGAATGTTTCCCGAAGTGCCAAACACAGCTGGAGAACCACTGCATAGAGTTACTGATGATGATACATGGAGATTCCAGTTGTGTTAGCCAGCAGTACAGATATTTGAGCATGTTTCTTGAGTACTTTTCCTAGACTAGAAAGGGAAAAATCTGAAAAGTTGCTATCAGGTTTTGAAGGAATGAAAAACGATTATACTAGGTGTAAGTTATTAGGGAAAATCAGATATTAATGAGTTGTGGATTTTAAAAGCCAGCTTAAGTTAGAAAGTGTAATAATCATTTTGAGTCAAGAAGTGAAGTAGCCCTGGAGGGAAAATGTAGAGCTGTACTTGGCGAGAGGTCCTCAGATTGGGTGGCAGATGCGAAAGCAAAGCATTCAAAACTAAATGATCTGTTTACCTGGGTGGGTGACTGGTTTTGAGACTAAAAGCACTAATTTATCTCTGCTTTTTTTGTTGTTTTTTGCTTGTTTGGCTTTCTTTGTGTACTTTTTGTTGTGTTCAGTTGTTGAGCTTAATTATGAAGAATTTATTTTCCTTTTATTTCAGGATTCTTCCATTGAAGAAGAGCTCAGACGCTTGCTGGCTTCTTTACCTCAAACGGAGCTGGATGAGTGTATCCAGTATTTTACATCTTTGGCTCTGAGTGAAAGCAGTCAGAGTCTAGCGGCTCAGAAGGTTAGTTCATCTATTCATTCTGTAAATATTTCTGAGTTTCCTCTCTTTCCAAGGTCTTGTGCCAGTGGCTCAGTGGTTGTCAACCTATGAATCAGGAGGTTATGGTTGGATTCCTTGTCAGGGCATATGCCCAGGTTGTGGGTCGACCCCCAGTGTGAGGCATGCAGGAGGCAGCTGATCATAGATTCTCTCTCATCATTGATGTTTCTCTCTCTCTCTCCCGCTCCCTTCCTCTCTGAAATCAATAAAAAAATATTAAAAAAAAAGATTGCTCTCTACTAGGAATACTTCCATGTTTTCTATTCTAGTAAGCAACAGTTTGCATAGCTAAAGTTCCCATAATATTTAGAGACCTACGTATTAGTCCTTTCTAGTACTGTATGTAATACAGAGATTCTTTTTTGGTTCAACAAAAAATATTAGTCATGTTTTTAGTAAAAGTTTTCATTATCTTACTTTCAGGGTGGCTTATGGTGTTTTGGAGGAAATGGACTTCCTTATGCTGAGAGCTTCGGAGAAGTTCCTTCAGTGACCGTGGAAATGTTCTGTTTAGAAGCTTTAGTAAAGCATTCGGAGGTAACTTACATTTTCAGATGTGGTTTATCTTCATGATCACATTGAAAAAATTATACATGTTCATTTAAGGGAAATTATCCTCATTTATTAGAAAAGGAAAAAAAGCTTTTTGTTTGTTTTAAAATTTCTGCTTTTCCCCCATTCATTTGTTCAAATTGATAATCATGTTTTAGCAGCAGTACATGAATTTCATTGCAGTTAAATTATTTCTAAAAACGGATGTAATCTTACTTGCACTTGAAGAATCAGTGCGTTGTCTAAATACAGCATGTCTTTGAGTTATGCTGCCTTTTTCTACCCTTCTCAGATCATTTTTACAAGTAATATTATCACGTCATTAATTTCCATTAAAACATCTGTCCAAGGTGTGTCAAGATAGAAAAAAGAAAGTACTTGAACGACCAGATTTTAACCATATCATATGTCAGTGATTGTCAAACTTCTTGGCATTATGACAACCTTCCTATCATGATTATAGTTTAATTTTAAAAAGAAAAAAAATAGCAAACCTCATGGTGCTCAAACATTAGTGCATAAAAATTCACGGGTTAAAAACACCCATTTCCTGCTCACCTGTGGCAAGTTTCATTGACCGATAGGGGGTGGCGCCCGGACTTTACATTAGTGCCAGGCACCCCGGCGAGGCTGCGGCTGGTGGTTCTGGCCATCCCACGTGGTGAGGAACGTCATCCTGCACATCCTGAACTCGCCCGTTTAATGTTGGGAACATCGGACATGGCTCAGGACACGGGCTTTCTGGGCACCTAGCTCCCACCTGCGGAATTAGGGTCAAGGACAAAGCGGAGTGAATGTCGGACTGCCGAAGGGAATGGGGGACAACGAGCTTGAGTTTTTGTGATTTAGTCTCGTATCTGAAGCAGAAGATGTATCCGCAGTAGAAGATGTGGTGCATGGAATATAGTAACCTTTCCAGAAGGTTATATTCCTCTCAGGCTATTACACATCACAACCGTTAGATGTCAAAAGGCATATTTTAAATGCATGTAAAACGTGATAAAATTTAATAACAGTTTAGAGAATGAAAATTGTTGCATATACATGATTGACCCGGTGTCGTGTCAGTGAGTACAACTAGAGATGGAAAGAGGCAGGCCATGCCAGTGACCTTGGCAGACCAAATGACTTGCTGTCATTCTGTCACCTTACCTTAGTATACATATGTCCTTTGGCCTTCTTTCATCTCTTTTCTCTATTAAAAATTCACATTCCCTTTTCTTTCTATTTGTACTAGATCATTCTCTTTAAACAATTTTCTGACTCCTGAGCTCAGACAATCCCAATAGCTGTGATTCTAAGGTAGTTTTAAGCCAATCAAAGTATCACTAGAAATTGAAACAGTTCTGTAATAATGATGCTGTTAGGTTATTTCTGACCAAGAGCCAAACAGAATAACTTTAAGAATAAAAATTTCAGAAAGCCTGGTGAGATAACTTATTTTTTCCAGTGGTTTTGAAGCACTTCTCATGTTGACAGGGGTTTGTGTATTAAGTAAGCTGAGGTGAGAGGTCGGTGGTCCCTCAGGGGCTTTGTCCTTGAGCAGGGGCCACCTGGCTGCCCAGCCGCATGCTGTGTTACCTGCTTAGTGAATGGGTACGACATAAAGTGGGCTTTCATTAATTTATTGTGCTAGATACCCACACATTGTGATAAAATCGAAGCAAGTGGAGGCTTGCAACTACTTCAGAAGATGTACCAACTACACAAGGACTGCCCCAAAGTACAGAGAAATATAATACGTATCATTGGAAATATGGCTTTGAACGAACATCTTCATTCAACTATAGTTCAATCAGGTAACAACTTTATATGCTGAGGATTTGGGATCCAGTTCTTTGTTTTCCTACCTCCACCTCTCCTGATATATTCATTTTTCAACAGACTGAAGACTGCTTAGGGCAAGTGATAGGTCCTACAGCATGTTGTTTTAAGGAGGGGCAAGGAATTGCTTAGTTATTTGGATAATCAACCCCTAAGATAATCGGTGTGTGGCAGTCACGAGAGCAGTTTTGCTGATGACCATCTGAATGTTTATGTCTTTGATAATGAATGATTGTTAGTGACCAAGATCTGGGTGCTATGTGTGCTTATTGCTCCTGGGGTGTCTTTATTCTTGACTTTTTCAGTGGAAAAAGCTGTGATAAAAACACACACACATACATACATATCTACATACATACCTGCACATGTATAGTTGACCCTTGAACAACACGGGTTTGAAGTGTGCGGGTCTGTTTATGTGTGGGTCCACTTATATGTGGGTTTTTTCAATAAATACCTGTACTATTTTAGATCCACCATCCGAGTCCGCGGATGCGAGAGCTGACTGGCTGCGTTGATCTACGCCAGGTTTATAGGGACTTGGGCATCCATGGATTTTGGTATCCGAGGGGCCCTAGAACCAATTCCTGGCAGATACTCAGGGGCAGCTTCAGTTTCTGAAGACACTAAAATTATATGAAGGTCTTCAATAGCGTGGTTGGTGGGACCAGTGCCCCTAACCTCTTCATTGGTCAAGGGTCAACTGTTTATGCGTATGTTCTTACATTTACATATATTAGAAATTAAGAATTTACATTTCTTCCTATACAGGACCATTTACAAATAAATTTTATTTGTTCCTCTTTTTATAGGCTCTTAAGATAGAAACTTAGATCACTGATTTTAACCTTTTCCTTGTTTCAATTATATATTACTGTACTATGCATCAAGCCATTTCAGAATGCACTTGTTAAAACAACAGTTATGTATTTTGCTCATAAATCTGAAATTAGGGCAAGGCGGTATAGGGAAAGGTTACACCTGCCCTATGCAGCATCAATTGGGGCAGCTCAGCTGTGAGGCAATGGATACACTTTCAAGATCACTTGCTCACAGGGCTTGTACATTGGTACTGGCTGTCAGCTGGGAGCTCAGTGGGGCTGGGGCCATTGGCTCCTTTCACATGCTCCTTTCCGCCAATGCCCGAGAGAAAGCCAGGTAGGCCTAGGGCAGTGGTTGGCAAACTCATTAGTCAACAGAGCCAAATATCAACAGTACTTCTTCAAAATAGACTCGCCCAGGCCAAAAACTGACTTCTGTGCATGGGCCACGAAGTTTCAGTTGCACTGTACACGCCCGCACGTGGTGTTTTGTGGAAGAGCCACACTCAAGGGGCCAAAGAGCCGCATGTGGCTCGCGAGCTGCAGTTTGCCGACCACGGGCTTAGGGCCATCATTTTCTGTCTGAAACCTCTGCACCACCTGAGATGGATGATGGGGACCTAGGAGGTGTGTTCTCTTCACCAGGCTGGGTTTCCTTACTGGCAGAAGCACTGAAGTCTCACCACATTGTGGAGGCCTCACACGCCGCCAGAACCCTGGCTAACCTAGACCGAGAGACGGTGCAAGAAAAGTACCAGGACGGCGTGTACGTGCTTCACCCCCAGTGTCGCACAAGGTAAGAGAGCACCTGTCCCCTTTGTCCCCGCTGGGATGGAAAGCCTACAGGGCTTACCGTGTAAATTTATTTCTGCATAATTTAGAGAAGTTAAATAACTTCCAGGTAAGAAAGTCACATACCCAACATACGGAAAGTTTGTCCTCATCACCTCAGAAGAATTGCAGGCTGCCACAGGGCATGGAAGGAGCCAAGTTCTCAGGGTTATTTCACATCAGAGGCTTGCGTTCAGGAAGGCGGCCTTCACCTTGCATTACAGGTCACACTTACACTGTGCGCGTATTTCTTTGTCTCAGAGCACTTTCCCCATAGATTTAATAACTGATCCAGATTGTACAGGTCGTTCTGGATGGAAAGGAGATAGGACATTATTATTTATATGCAGGCAACCAAAGTAGCCTGGGCCTAGACCTGCAGGGACTGGAAGAAGTTTATGCCAGGTTTAAAAGCATGCGCTGGAAGCAGTAAGTTGTAATAAATATGACTCTCACTCCTCCTCAAGGTGATTTTGGCCAACTTTTCCAGTTGTGTCATTGACAGAAAGGACCACAGTGAAAAAGTTAGATATTTCTTGGATTTTTTCAGACACTTTAAAATATTAACTCAGAAAAGAGCAAAAATTTTTTTTAATTTGAAAAATGGATTGCCTACTTAATCCCAATTTGTAAGTAAAATACTATGGTGTTTGTGTGTTGCATAGTTGTGTGTGCCCTATAAAAAGATGTAAGTAATATACTATCTACATATTTTAAATGTCATATCCAAAGAAAAAATATTACTTTAAAATGTCATTTGCAGCCAGCTGGAGTGACTCAGTTGGTTGAGTGTCATTCCCATGAACTGAAAGTTCACTGGTTCGATTCCCAGTCAGGGCACATGCCCAGCCAGGTTGCAGGCTCGCTCCCCAGCAGGGGTTGTGCAGGAGGCAACCAATTGATGGTTCCCTCTGACGTCAATGTCTCTCTCCCCCCTTTCTCCTCTTCTCTCTCTAAAATCAATAAAAACATATTTTTTAAAAAAGTCATTCGCTCTATTTCTGATAAACATCCTTGATAAATTTTTGAAAATCTCTTTTATGCACGCTGACTTTGAAACTACTCTAGCATATTCTTATTTAGTTTTTTAAATACTTATTGATTTGTGGGACAGTCTCATGGAATTCTCTGTAGGGCAATATGACATGTGTCACTTCTCTCATCACTTGACTCACTGCAATTGATTTTAGTTGGTCCGTCTGGCTAGATGTCCCCATTTCTATAGAGCAATGAGCACACTCCGTGCATGGCTTTGTCAAAACTCCTTGTAGGGTTCTTCAGCAAACCTGCGTTCTAAAGCTTGCCTTCATTTTTATTTTATGTCCTGTAACCCTGCTCAGCACCATCCAGAGTGTGCTCTGTAGATTCTCACCAAAACAATAATGTGTTCATTCTGCTTCTTTTTAAAACTCTCTCCCCTGTTAGTCAGCCCATTAAAGCAGATGTCCTTTTTATTCACGGCCTTATGGGAGCAGCATTCAAGACGTGGCGTCAACAGGACCAGGCGCTAACTGAAAAGGTTTCAGGGGATGAAACCAGGTATACAACATGTTGGCCCAAGGTAAGGATACAGCCGACTCTGGTAGCCCACCTTTGTCAAGACACACTGCGTGTCACTGCCTGTTGGAGCCCTCATTGTGACTTGCTTTTCTGTTTTTACTGGGACTTTTTTCTATGCAGTGTTTCTTTCCCCTAGTGACACCTGTGGTATGTTACAAGAACAGCTGGGCTTGTCACCTTGTGTAATTGAGGGTACAGTCTATGATTCTAAAAGACTATTCCAATAAGTAAAAAACAGGGACCAGGGCCAGTTATCATTCACTTCAATTAAAAATATAATACAGCCCTACCTGCTTTGGCTCAGTGGATAGAGTGTTGGCCTGCAGACTGAAAGGTCCCAGGTTCGATTCCAATAAAAATATATTTTTTAAAAATATATATATAACAAATAAGATATTACATGCATGATAGTTGGCTAGTTCTATGATTTTAATAATGATAAAAATAGAAGGACTTTGATGAAGTAATTCTACTTTGGATTTCTTTGACATTGTTTCGTCCAAAGAGCCTTAACCCTGAGATGCAGTCCCCGAGTGGAAGCTATTGAAGCTCAGTGACACTGGTGCTGGGAGCATGTGGAGAGAGTTCCCAGGGCTTGTCCCACTCTGCGCACTCCCCTTCACAAAGGCTTGTCATGCAGAAGAATGGCTTTTACCCGGTGGTGACATTGAGGTGTGGGGATAACGACAGCCTGGTCCATGGAGACAGAACTGGGACTATATGGAGTGTCTCTGAGTGCTCGGGTCGAGTCTCTTAACCATAAGACCATACTGTCGGTCCTGAGGTCATAGCTTTCTGTGAAATGCTTTCAAAAGCCAATTTGATCCAGACTCAAAAACAGGCCTTGCTTCTGGCTGTAGCAGATTGCAAGAGGGTACCCTCTGGACACCTCCACTGGCCTTACGCTATCAATACTGATGCCACCTGTGACTGAGCCATGAAAAGATAAAATGCTGGCCTTTTGTTCTGGTCGGTGCGATTTTTAGTCAATATCACAGGAGTCCTTTAGTTATGCATTTCGGTTACTGGGAAATAATAGGGGCGGTGGGAATTCTTAATGTTCTTTTGTGCCTTTTATTTTACGTAGACATGGTTAGCAAGAGACTGTCCCGCTCTCCGAATTATCTCTGTGGAGTACGACACCAGCCTTAGTGACTGGAGAGCGAGGTGCCCGACAGAAAGGTAACGGTGGCTTTGGAAGGCGAGGGCCCAGGCCACAGGTGGGCCCTCAGGGATGGAGACAGGATCTTCTTATGGGAGCCAACCTTTCTTCTCTCTCTTCTAGAGGAGTTAGCCAGACATACATAAACAAAATAGACTCTGAGTGTCAGTGTTGGGCTCCTCACGTGGTTCACTTACAGCTATTCCAGTGGAAGGACACGGACCCCATAGCAGATCACACTTTACTCCTGAAGTGAACGTGGTGCTTTTGCTTTTGTGTTCACAGTCATACTGGCTAAAGGCAGCAAAGAAAACGATGCTGAGCGGCACAGGCTCCTTAGGGCACTCGCACGTCACCTGTGCGATTGTATAACAGGAAGGGCACAGCCTTCGGCTTAGGACCTAGACTGTAGCCAGTTCTACCTCTGACTCACTGTGTGATCTCAGACAAGTCGTTACTTGTCCGGAGAGCTTGGTCTACAACTTGGGAGACTCGACCTGAGTCTGAGGGTTCTGAAAGGCCCCCACAGGGGTGCCCGAGGAACGGTGCCGAGGGCAGGGAGACCGGACCAGGGCTCCTTCCCACTTCACCCGAGGACTCTGACCAGCCTTTATTCTGAAGAAAGAATTCTACAGGTTGGAAACCACCAGACCAGACAGTTTTGACACTCCCGCTTTGAAAATTACTTATTTTGAATGCTCTCATTCTAATAGCTTTCTGGTATTTCTCAGTAATAAACTATAATAATGTTTTCAGCCTCAATACAACGACAACTCGGTACAATGACAGCTGCCTTCATGTAGCGAATCACAAAAGAGGGGCCACGAATGAGAAAGGACCCATGTCCTGGTGCGGGGGCAGCTGGTGTGAGACTGACCTTTGACCTGTGAAAATTGCCAAACTCATATTAGATGCTCAAATAATGCTTGTTTAGTACATGAATGGCTTGTTCTGGGCTTACTCTCAAGTATGCCAGTGACAAAGTTAGAAATGGGCAATGAGCAGTTGCAGAAGGTGAGCAGAGAGAATAGGGGTATTCCTGACTCCAGATGTAGCACGTAGCACTGGTCCAATAAACAAAAGTTCTTGCCTTAGAACTAGATAGCAAACTTTGGGGTGATCAATAGCCTCCTGTCATGCCTGCTGTTTTCGTTTTGTTCAGAAAATCCATTGCATTCAGGAGCAATGAACTTCTTCAAAAACTCCGAGCTGCTGGTGTTGGGGACAGGCCGATGGTTTGGGTGTCACACAGCATGGGGGGTAAGTGCGTGTCATTCCTGTGAAGCGAGCATTAGGAGGGTAGTCAGCCATGCGGGCTGCCTGGGTTCCTTCAGCTCTGTTTACTCGAGAGTGACCCTTTCCCCCTAAACAAATGTTTCTGGTACAGCGAGGAGTTTTTAAATCACTGTTCTTCCGTGCCAGTCCTTTGTCAAGAAGGGACAAGCAGTGACAAACCATATAAAAGGGATATGAGTTTGACAGCTTAATGCTGTCATGTAATGATAATGAATACCCATCAGAACAGTCCCTGGATTCCACAAGCCTGACTCGTAACTGTTCCTGGCTGGTCCCAGGGCTCCCCTTTCTTCCCTGCACCCAACCACTGCAGAGGCCATGACTGTTCTGATGCCACAACCCCAGCCCCTTGGTGCCTGCTTACCCGGCCCTGCAGGTGTCCGCGCTGCGGTTCCTCCCAGCCCTCTCCCCAGTCCAGTTCCAAATCTCACCTCCCGCTCGCAGAGGGCCTTTCTGCAGCTGCTGCCTAGTTCACCTGCTGAAATGCCCAGGGCGCCGAGTGCAGGCGTTCAGCTGAGAGGAAGGCAGTGCCGCCATCTCTGTGACCTTGGGTTTCATTACTGGCTCCACGCCCGTGGGGGAGACAGAAGGCGCCTTCTGGGTGCATTTCCCACAGGAGCTTGTTTTGCACGGAGAGTCGGCTTTGTGGGACTGTGTTTTTGGAAGGGGCATCGGTGGGCTGCGGTGGCAGGAGGGGGAGACTGGCAGCTGCATTTTCGCTTCATTGATGGATACATAACAGACCTGAAACGCCTTCTGTGGGACAGTGCAGCCTGGGATACAAATGAGTTTCTAGAATCTTGTCTGTAGGTGAGATTCTGATGCAGAGGATAGCGAGTATCATCCAGTGTCGATATTTTAAGGCCCTGTTTGTTAGACTACAGAGAATTATTCTGGAACTTTTTAAAGAAAGCATCTCTTTCTCTGTATTTCTTGTTTTGCATATTTTGGGTTTTAAGAGTAATGGAGGGAAGGAAATAGCTTCTGTCTTTTTTGTCTTCTCTACGGCCAGGTCTTCTTGTCAAGAAGATGCTGTTGGAAGCGTCTCAGAATCCAGAGATGAGCACTGTTATAGACAACACCCGAGGGATAATCTTCTACAGCGTCCCTCACCACGGGTCCCACCTGGGC